GTCTGGTCCCTTATTCAGGCAACCATGTAACATGCTAATCTCTCAAAGCATGGCACCACTCTGGAGATACAAATTTAAGTTGTGGTCCACAAAGTCCAACAGCCTCCCGCAAGACTCACAGGTAACCCATTATCGGATTTCTTGTTTGGGTAGTTTTGGGGGGAAGATTGGCAACTGAAGCCTAAGGGTGGTATTATACTACAGTTTCCCGTTTTTCTGTTCAAATTACAACTTTAGGCAGAGGACCTGTGCTGATTCAAAACACTATTCTGAAAGGAAACTGCCAGAGTAGGTAGGGCTAGGCTCTGGAGACCACAAAGACAGGTGCTATAGGAATGCTTGGGGGAGATTAGGGGGGATGCTTGCAAAGGACTATAACAGAGACTGCTCTGGGATTTTCCCTAGCCAGACCAAGCAAAGGGCACTAGGTATCCTGAAGGTACTTGAGGGGCCCACCTTGATTTTCCAAAGCCATCTGGTTGTAACCTGATTATAGAGTTTCAAGTATAAAGAGATTTGACCAGTGGGATTTGTTTTCCTGAAAGGTAGCCTGACTGTGTGTGACCTAGGACCTTGTAAGCCTGGGACTTTAGCCCAGGAACAATGAAGGTTTATTTTCACCATTGCCCCACCATCAGTTCTGCCCCTGTAAATCTCGAGCATTCTCAAAGTTGGGGAGGAGAATTAGGTCAGGTAGAAAGTCAAGTATGTAGGCATCCAGAGGAATGGGAAGCTATCAAGTTCTAAGGCCTCTACAGGTTATCATTTCATTGAATCCTCACAACATCCCCGAGACAGGTACTACTGTTATCATCTCCTTTCTAAAAGGGAGGAGTCTGAGTTAGAGAAGTAACACCTAAGCTTACTCAGCTGGTTTGTGGCAGAAGAGAGATCGGAACCACTTGGTGTTGTTCTAGAGTATGATCTTTCTGCTACAGGGTGGAGGTCCCCTGGTTGGGCCCAGGAAGTGGGAGAAGGAGGCTAATTCTCAGCACCATTCATTTTAAACAGGTAGGCTTCAGGATGCTTGAAAGCTGACTCAAGTTCCCATCCTTTCTGGAATATTGGCAAGAGTCTGACAAGTCTCTGATTTCCAAGGTCATTGTTTCCCTCTTGCAATCCAGCACCGACTGGCTCTTTTCCAATCTTCAGGCACCTCATCCACCCACTGCCCTCAAAAATAACTGCTTAATGGGTCTCCAGTAACTCCACCCAACTCCTTAAGGGCTCCTGAGAGCAGATCGTCTCGGAGAGCCAAGAGAACTCATCCAACTTTTAAAAGTGATCTTTGATCATCTCTTTCCTTGCCTCCATCTTCCCACACGATCTAAGTTGACTGGTCTGCTTCACCTCACACAGAGCTCTCTCAACCAAGAACACACTTTGAGGGGTTTCCCTGGTGGCACAGTGGTTAAGAATCCGCCTGCCAATGCAGGAGACACAGGTTCGAGGCCTGGTCCGGGAAGATCCCACATGCCGTGGAGCAACTAAGCCCATGCACCACAACTACTGAGCCTGCACTCTAGAGCCTGCGAGCCACAACTACTGAGCCCGCGTGCCACAACTACTGAGCCTGCGTGCCGCAACTGTAAAGGCCTGTGCGCCTAGAGCCCGTGCTCTGCAACAAGAAGCCACTGCAATGAGAAGCCTTCACACTGCAACGAAGACACAATGCAGCCAAAAAAAAAAAAAAAAAGAATACACTTTGCAAGCAATCAATTCTGGATATAGAGTGCAAAAGTTGGGAGGGAAGGGGGGGATATCTGAAGTCAGAAGATTCAGACACACAGCTTCAGATCAGAACTCCTTTCCTGCATTCAGCTCATGACTACTGACTTCACCTGGTTGTCATGGAAACATCAGTCTCTCGTGGTGGCAAGCAGCACTTTAGAAAGCTTCACAGGCTACCATGGTAACACCAAAAAGAGTAAAGCTGCCTCCTCTCTTCCAGCGGTGAGGAAGAAATGGACGAGACTGCTAGGAAAAGCAGGCTAGAAGGGACAGCCTCTGGAAAGCCTGGCTCTGACTTGAACTGAGGGGAATTAATTCAACTCAACAGATACGAAATACGTGCAAACAAAACAGTAATGAATGGGCTTCCCTGGTGGCGCAGGGTTGAGAGTCCGCCTGCCGATGCAGGGGATGCGGGTTCGTGCCCCAGTCCGGGAAGATCCCACATGCCACCGAGCGGCTGGGCCCATGAGCTATGGCTGCTGAGCCTGCGCGTCCGGAGCCTGTGCTCCGCAATGGGAGAGGCCACAACAGTGAGAGGCCCGCGTACAGCAAAAAAAAAAACCAGTAATGAAAAAGACACATCTATGACTGGCTTCATCAAGCTATAACCATCTAGTAACAGAGTTTACAAAGAACTGTAAATAAAGTCAGAATAAGACCTACATAGGACCAAGAATACTGAAAAGGAAAATCAACTTCAACTAGGAAATCATCAGTCTTAAAGGACAGGATTTTGACCAGTAAAGAGGGGCAGGAAAAGAGAACAAGACAGTAGACATGGAAGTGGAAGAATTCAGGATATACTGAGAACTATGAGTAAAGAGACAGAAAAAGTGACACTTTCCCATAACTCCAAGGCTTTGGCTTCCACAGTGTTGCTGAGGCAGGTTAAGATTAAGATCAAGGGATCTGAAGCTAGACTGGACTGAAATCCCAAACTTGCTAACTGCATTATTGGGGGACAAGTTACTTAACCTTTGGGGTATCAGTTTCCTCATTAACAAAGTAAAGATAATAAAAGAATCTACTTCAGAGGGATCGTTGTGAGGATTAAACAATTCAATACATATAAAATGATTAGAACAATGCCTAACCCACACCAAATCCTGCATAAACGTAAATTCTCATTAATTGTTAACCGCTCCACTTTTTGGTGCCAGGACAGCCTCTTCGCACTGTCCAAGTAATACTCCCCCCCACTTAATTTTTTCCAGTTGCAGCATGCAAGCTTCTTGGTTGCGGCATGCATGCAGGATCTAGTTCCCTGACCAGGGATCGAACCTGGGCCGCCCTGCATTGGGAGCGTGGAGTCTTACCCACTGGACCACCAGGGAAATCCCTGTCCAAGTAGTACTTCCTGATTCGCACCAGACTCTTGAATAGAAAACAGGGGCTGTGACAGAATACCTCCAAGTTTTTAGCTCATTTCCCTTCCTTAGAAGCACCAAGACTAAAGGTTCATAGGTCACAGCCCTGCTTCCACTGGTAGCCCACAGAGCCTAAGAAAGAAGTAGGGTGAATCCCAATGTAAAGAACACAGCAGTTTAAAGAACAGGGAGGAATGCCACTGCCTTAGAAAAGAGAGAAGTGGAGGCTATAAGCCGAAAGTCAAGTGAAAAATCCCATTTAGAATTGAGGACTCGTGGGGAAATTCTAACTGCGCTGGGAACAGACCTGGGCAACAGTCTCATCTCTACTCCCACCTTAGCCACCATGCTCAGGCAGGAGGTTGAGGGAGGCTCCTTTACATTAGGCTGGGCCCAGAGACTGTTCACTGCCCCTTCTCTCCACTCCAACCACCCTCTACAGAAGGATGAATAATAAGAAGGCACTGAGTCACACGCAGTGACACTGGCTGTTACCCACTAGACGTTGTCACCTTATGTAGGTTAAGACTAGAAAAGAAGTTGTCTTTGACATTCCCTTACTTCCACCCTTGTCTCTCTCCCAGCAAAAAGCTACGCAAGCCTCTAAGAACAAGGAGCAAGGAAGAACTGAGGTGGAAGGACCCAAAATGCAGGAAGGTCAAAGCAGCTAGGAATGGGAGTATAAGGAAACTGAGCAGTGCGGGGGGGGCCCACCTGAGGGCAGGAAGCAAGGCCTGGGGGTACCTACAGTTTGAAGATGTTCAAGACTGCCATGAGGAGGCCTGGCCCATAGCCTCAGGAGGATGCATAAAAATGGTCTGCACTGAGGTCAGGTTGCCTTAGCAGCTGCATCAATAACTGCAAAGGACTGGGCCTTAGTCAGCTGCTCCTACCTGAAAATAACGTGGCCTCCTTCCCTTCTCCCAGGTCCAGAGAGCAAATTAGTACAGGGAAGGGGTAGGGGTGACAGTGGGTGAGACTGCAGCAGCCTGGAAGTCCCTCCAGAGTCCCAGTGGCCTTTTATGCCACAAGTAGGTTTCAGGTACTTAACACTGCAGTGTAAAGAGCAACGTCATAAGCTAACCACTAAAAAACCATCATTCTGCTTAGAAGCCTTAACTGACAAGTTAAAACCTAGCAGCAATTATCCAAATTTTTAGCATGACAATACACTCTCAACATTCTGTTGCACAGAGACCAGTAAAGAATGGAGGAAGCCCACAGAGCCCTGTCCCTGAACTTCAGACCTTCTCCTTTTGGTTGGTCCCTAGTTGGTGAGCCAGGCTCTGGACTAGCCCCTTGTTCTAAGCCTTACAAAGCCGGCAGAGGAAGGTGTGCCCTCACCTTTGGAAGGGCCATGTGTGGAATACTCAGCTCCCTGGAAATTCATCAATCGGACTCAGGCCTGTGTTATCAAAGCCATTGGAAAGAAGAGTTGGGGGGACTGAAAGGGCAAACAATGACAGACTTAAGGCCTGGGGAGCCCTGATGTATAATGCCCAAACCCCTTTGGATATTGGACTGGATGTCTACTACAAAAAGGTCCAAAGGCGGGTACAGAGCTCAACAAAGTAAGAATGGTGAGCTTAGAAGGCTTCTCTGGTACTTAAGCTCCTCAGGATCACGAAACACCCTTAGAGCAAGGTGCAGAATGTGCTACTGTCACACTGCCATCTGGTGGAAAGACAAGATCTGTCCCCAGGCAGAGAGAGGGAGCCTGGAGGTCTGTCCACTAGGCAGGGAGGTTTGGAGATAATCAAGATAAAGACAGAAGGAGACCAAGGGGCATAAAGACCACGGGAGTATAAAGCAGATACAGATGGCATGTGTGCCTTTTGTCTGTTTTTCTTTCTAAAGATCAGATATTTAAAAAATTAAAATAAAGAAAAGAAAACTTAATAGCATTACAAATGTTTTATATCCCTAGAACCATTCGTGGTTTTGGCTCAGGAGAAGTTAACGTCAGACAGACACACCACTGGACCGAGACCACACATGGGCAGCCGCCGCCACAACCGTGGGACCTGCCTTTTGTACAAAGTTTATATATATATATATATATATATATTTATGTACACAGACACAAGGGTATAAAATACAGTGAGAAGGACTCACGTGTGCCCAGCTGGGCCTGAGCCCACAGTCTCCAGAGGCACATGGAAGTGGTGGAGAGAAGCAGCCTCCCCTCCATCCTCCCACCCTGGGCCAAAGGAAGGACAACTACACAAAGGAAGATGGAAGATACCAGAAAGGTACCCCACCTTTCACTGAACTCCCGAATGCCCCTAAGACATCCAAAATGGCTGGCAGGAGAGATCATTCCCACACCTCCCAGAAAGATGTTGAGCCCACAGTAGCAGTTCTGGCCCCAAGCTAAGGTTTAAGGCAGGCTTCCCAACACACGTCTGTGCTATCTTCCAGGGCCCTTGTAGCAGCAAGCCAGCACTTTCAAGGTTCACTCCCTCAAACCCCAAAGTCCTCACAGACGAGAGGTCTTAAAGGTTTTCCGTGACAGACTGTACAGTAAAGGTACAGGCAGGCAAAGAGCGGTTAGTTCCTTCAGTTAATGCCCTATGGCCTTCCCAATGGGGGAGGAATCAAGGAATCAGTAAGAGGTGGTTGTAAAGGGCAAGGAAGGTCATCCCAGGAGACGATAAATACAGAGAAACAGATGTTCAATTCAAGTGCAGATTCTGTTCTCTTCAACTGGCAGCTTTGCTCACCAGAGTCCATTCCCACTGCGGCTGCGGTGGGCAGGAGCTCTTCTTGGTGTCCTAGGGGGTCCCAGTTCCCCCACCGTCAATGTTCACACCCTCAGGATGGTTTGGTCCACAGAATGGAGAGAAGGGGCCATGGAAGGGTAGACGTGGAGAAGGGAGTGGCAGGACCCAGAGGCACAGGTAGGCAGTGGACTGCGCCACTAATTACCTGTGGCATGGAGAAGATGTAAACGGGAAGCCGGAGGAAAGAAAGTTAGCTGTGAACACTGAAATGAGCTGGGCCTTGAGACTCACATGGTTTGGCGGGTAAAGAGGCTGGAAAGCTGGAAGCACTGGGAGGCGATTGCCTGGGAGGCGAGGTTCAGGGCCGGACTCAGAGCTGGAACAAAGAGAGACAAGGGAGTTAGCACAGAGCATTCCTGCCTTCCAGGCCCGACCCTTCTCTCCCTTTCCCAAGTCCAAGCCTACCCGTCAAAGCCGCTGGGTTCAGGGCCCCCAAAGGAACTGCTCCATTCAGTTGCAAGGCAGCAGCTTGGGCAACAGCAGCAGTGGTCGGCAGCTGGATTCCAGAGCCTCAGAGGAAAAGACGAGGTGGGGTTAAGTCCTAACCCTTGATGTAAAATTCAACGCCATGTTCTTCACTCTGCAGAGAAGCCCTACCTTCTGCCAATTTGGCCATGAGCTGCAAACGTCCACCCGCTGATCCCAGATCCAGATCCTGGTCTCCATCAGGAAAAGTGATGTCTGTGCCACCATCCAGTCGCTCGGTCACATGGCCAACCCTCATAGGCCGACCAGCAAGCTCAAAGCCATTCAACTGTTCCAGGGCCCGGCGGGCACACTCAGAGTCAGAGAACTACAAGAAACCCAGGTCATATCAGGTACCTCCTGGCCACAGACATGCTCTCAAAGCCCCACTAATACTCTCTCGTCCTACTGTCCCATGAAAATTGCATGCTCACTGTGGCTCAAACTTTTCTTTCCCAGGGAATGTGACCTAAGATCCCCATGCCCGCAAATAGTTCTCTAAAAAAGACCTTTTCCAGCTGACTCAAGGGCAATCGCTTTTCAATCTCCAGCTCCACTGAGAACCTAACAGTGCATCATTTGTAGGGAGCCCAGCCTGATAGGCTGTTTCACAAATGGACTTATCAAATGGAAGTAAGACAGGCGGAGATCCAAGGCTCCTGAGCTTTAATTTCAGCCCTCAGGACTAGTAAGTTTCAGTCCTTAGTCAAGAACCAGGAACGTGGAACTCCAGAGCCCAGGCTCAGGAAGGTGCACACCCTGGTACTGAAAGCGAGACTGCACCCCCACTCCCACCCCACCCCAGTGCGGCTGACTCTGGCCCACTGGCCAGAAGGCCTCTACTCTCTCATCCCTTCCAGCAGCAGCACTAGCAGCAGCCTGGCATAAAGAGGATTCCCAGTCTGCTGTTTATGTGTCAAGGGTGTTGACCTAAAAGGCAGGAACACAAGGGCAAAAAGGCCCCACAGAAGCCTTTCTGCATCTGAGACACACAGGGAGCTAGAAAAGGTACTTGCCACCATGAACAGCACAGCTGGCTTTATTTACTCTGGTATTACCTGTCCTAGGGCCTGGCATGTGGTACTGACAGTTCCTAGGCAGGTGGTATAGGTGGCTTGCTTTTACCAGATACTTCTGAGATGAGCAATTCCCACGGTAGAACACAACCTACCTCCCCTCTGCCCTGCAGGCAACTGGGGGGGTGTATGCTGCCTAGATTGAGCCCAGAAAATATCAGCTTCTATTAGACTTTGTGGCTGGCAGCCAGTCCTAGCCTGGAGTCACATGGGGCTGGAAGAACCAGTTATGGGAATTGGAAACAATTTTGTTGGAGTGTCAGGAAAAGGTGAGACTTGCCCACTATTAGGTGGCCTTACTGTTTTCCCTATAGTGGTATTTAAATATAAAGATATTTCTCAATGGGGAAACTGCTTCAAACTGGGTAGGACCAGAGAGAAGTATATACCTTCTTATTCCCACCCCATCATGAAAATATACCAATTCTATAAAGCAGATCTATAAAGGCCCGTACCTAACCTCCCTCATGCCCCCAACCTCTTAGCTGCAGCCTGGAATCGTTACTATTACCCAGAGAGCAAGCTGTAGCACCAGGGAAGCTGGTTGACCTCCTGGACACCCCATACCAGTGCCACTGACAGAGTGTAGGAGCAAAGCCATGATCTCAAGCAATGCACTCATCTCAAGGGGCAGAAGGCTAGTCCAAGCTTCAGGCACCAGGGTTTATGGGTCATTTAGACAGTTCCTATGGGAGGAGGATGAAGCTAAGCTGCAAAATCAGACAAGTGGACAAACCTAAACTAAAATTAAAAAGTTGAAGACTAGAGACTCACCGTAATAAAACCATAACCTTTAGAGCGGCCTGTATCTGAGTCCTTCATCAGGACAATATTATCAATCTGCAGAATAGAGAAAAATAATCAATAATCTTTTGGCTAAGCCACACCTTTGATCTTTCCTACCCAAACTGTTCTATTTTTTTGGCCATGTGCAGCATGTGGCACATGGGATCTTAGTTTCCCAACCAGGGATCAAACCTGCACCCCCGAAGTGGAAGCATGGAGTCTTAACCACTGGACCGCCAGGGAAGTCCCCTACCCGGATTGTTCTAAATACCTCTAACTTTCTAACCAACCCATTACAGCTCTCCAAATCATTTTAAAAATGAGATAAAGCCCATCACTTTCCCAAACACTTTTTCTGACTCATCTTACTTCATATGGACCCCATTATTTGATTTCATGGTGCCTAATTTGTCTCCTGAGCAGTATGAATACAGAGATGGAGCCCAACTCCTCCAGCATGGACCCACATGGCCATTGTTAAACACGCAATGGGTTAATCATGGTCAGACAGAACGAGAAGGTACACTCGCCCTCCCCACTTTTTCCGATTCCCTTCAGAGGTTTCCCTCACTTTCTACTCACTTTGCCAAAGGGCTCAAAGATGCCCCGGAGCATGTCCTCGGTGATATTGAAGTGCAGGGAGCCCACGTAGAGGCGCATTGGTCCACCACTGCCCTTCTGCAGGTTGTTGGCCATGGCTGCCAGTCGGTTTTTCTCAGCCTGTGGAAGAAGGAAATGATGGGTCATGCCCCACACCTACCACCATTATCTCCATCTTCTTATGTCCATTTCTCAGGCTGCTCACCTGTGAGGCCTGTACAATGATAGGCACTCCCAGCAGCCGCTGTCCGGTCAGCCCAATGGCAAGTGGCACAGACTGGATCTCACAGAATTCCACATAGGCAATGCCCTTAGAACGACGTGAGTTCCGATCTGAGATGATACGTACATCTCGAACCTATCCAGGGCAAAAAGAAAATCCTGAATTGGGCATAAAGGGGGATGGATAGAAGACAGGCTTCTCAGAGACAACTAAGAGGGGGAAGAGGTTTACCTTGCCAACAGCCGAGAAAAAGTCCTCCAGGTCCCGAGGCCGAATGCGGGCAGCTAACTGCATACAGAACACCGTGCGGGCATCCCGCTCCTCAGGACTCAGATTATCAACTGGCTCCCTAAAGAGTGAGCAAAATCGTCGAGACCCTCCCTGCCAGTACATGGTCATCATTCTTCAGCTACCCTCAAGTACTACACATTCCTGTGGTTTGGCTCAAACCGCTTTTTTATTCATAACTCACAATCCCTAAAAGAGTGCTCATTGTCACTCACCTGACTGGGCTCTTCTCCCGGAAATGAGGACTCTTACTGTGTCCATACCTACGCCTACGGAACAGAGAACAACCAAACTGAAAACCGTGTCACCCACCTTTATCCACACTGGCCCAGTGCTGGGTCTTCCACCATGAGAAAACCAGATTACAGCACCTCATCGCACATGCCAATTCTGAGTATCACCCCTCCAGTAACTGGGTCTCCTGCCTACCCCAAAACATGATACAAAGGTGATCTTATAAGCAAAAGGTGATACCCAGTGGCAAGCGGTGGACTCCTGTAGCGCACACGATCCTCACGACGTCGGTCTCGACTTCGTGACTCACTACTATGTCGACGTTCCCAGCTACGGCTGCGGTGACGACGCTGTCGATCTCGACTCCGGCTCCGACTGCTTCTCCGCCTATGACGGTCTCGACTACGACTGTGGACGGCAATGACTGTTAAGCTCCTTAAAGAACAATCCAACCTTTCTGGCCTTTAATGTATAGCTTTCCCTGGTATCTTTCCATTTATAATTCTCAAAACCCAAGCGGCCCCAGAATGACTGACCTGCGTTTTCTATCCCTGCTTTTACTATGGCTCCGACTCCTCTTCTTCCTGTGAAAGAGAGCATAAACTCTTACTACTGAGGTTTCATCACCTCTCCCAAGGATAAGAAATGACACTAAAGCAAAGGTGAAACAGAAAGCAGTGAAAGACCAAAGCCTAGAAGACAATATGGCAGAAGTTCACAGCAATGGCATGACATCAGTTTACACAGAGCCCTGAATGCTGTCAGGCATCTGAAATGGCCATTTTCCCCCACAAAACCAAGCAAAAGCTCATGTTTCCAAATCAGAGATCCTCTTGCTATTTTACTCAAGTGAAATACTACATCGACGCTAGGACTGATCCACAAGTCTATCCACAAATCTACACTGGCAAGCGAAGACTAGAAGATCATTAACCCAGGTCACCATCATTCCCATGACCCAGTGGAGCCATTACTAAAAGTCAGAAGTCTTACCAGCAACCACCTCCCTGTTCTGGCTGTTTCTATAATGGACACAGTTGCTTCCCTTCCTCAAGCTGCCAACCCATTTTCCTCAGGCCACACTCACCTGCCTGCCTCCCCACTGGCGCTGCTCCCACTGGTGCCACTGCCACTGCTGCCGGTACAGCTGGTGCTGTTGGTGGTGTTACTAGGGCTCTCCTTTTCAACCTCGTTAGTTTGCTGCTCATCCTGAGGGGTTCGCCAGGAAAATGACACAAGGTACCAGGTGGCAGACACACAGATTCCATTGGGCAAAGAAAGAAGTGGACAAGGAAGAAAGCTCATGAAATCGAAGCTCTCAATCATCTAAACAGTTTCTAAGCACCTGGATCTCCTAACAAAAAGAATAAGAGAAGAAGGAAGGAAACTACCCAAAAAGATCAGATTTTGAAGTCAAACCTTTAGCTACCCCAACATCTGTTCCACTAACATTTCCCTGGAGAGTGAGAAATGAGAGTTATGTCTGAGATACACTGACCTTCTACTGTGTCACTGAGAGCTGTGAGCAAAGCACTGGTTCCCACCGCCACTTCATGTCCCCTCCACCCCCAGTTTTTGGGGCCCTTTCTGTAAGCATGGCCCTTGAGTATCAGTCTCCAGCAGAGCTTACTAAAAGATTATGCCTTGAGCTTCCCTGGTGGCACAGTGGTTGAGAGTCCGCCTGCCGATGCAGGGGACACGGGTTTGTGCCCTGGTCCGGGAGGATCCCACATGCCGCGGAACGGCTGGGCCCGTGAGCCGTGGCCGCTGGGCCTGCGCTCCACAACGGGAGAGGCCACAACAGTGAGAGGCCCGTGTACCGCAAAAAAAAAAAAAAAAAAAAAAAAGATTATGCCTTTTATGAAAGCCACTGCACATAATAAACAAACAGGGAAAGAAGATTCACAAAACGTTGAAACTGATGATCCACAAGTGCTTTTCCTAACCAGCCCAATTCCAAGAGTGAGATGGGGAATCTTACCTCCTCTTTTTTATAGGGAGCCTCCAGCATGGCCTCAATCACTATATCAAAGTCATCGGATGCCATTGTAGCAGATCTGAGAAGAGGACATCAATACATAAGAACCTCATTTATATTTTTCCTCCCCTTCCAGCACCCCACATTCCCTCCCCCCTCCAAGAAACAGACTTCAGGATATACAGTTCTGTTTCTTGAACTCCAAAGGTACCTTACCCGCTGTTGTTTACCCTATGTTTATTTTTGTACCTTACAGATCTGAACGAGTTCTGCTTTGTGGCTTAGAAAAGGTCAGGGGTCTAGAAGAAAACTGAATATCTAGGTAGAGACAAAATACAATATAGACCCTGTCCTGTGAAAAGAAAATGTTGGTACTCAAAATTACTATTTATTTTACAACGGACACTTGGCCTCCATTCTACTGTTCAAAATTCTGAATAAATAATTGGTTTAAACATAAATTGGCACATATTTCCAATAAAAAGGTAAGAACGCATGACTAAAAATTAGGAGCAAGAGAAAGCAATACCAGAATAATGCAGATTAGTCCTAAGCTTTTCCCCACACCACCGCCCAACACAAATAATGAGGGGATTCATCATTAAGCATTTTCTGTACAATACCGACCAGAGTTTGGGTAACTCAGAAAGACCATGATTAAGATAGGCTTAACCAGTCCCACTTTGAAGCCTTTCTGTCTAGGAAGGTACAGTAGGACTTCTCGCCTACCCCAAGCTTTCACATCTAGCAATGGTCTTTCCCAAGTCTGTCCACCACAGGTCTATAAGTAAAAAAAAACAGAAGACACCAAACAAAATCAATAGGATAAATTATTCAGAAATTACTGGTCTGAAATTATCAATATACATAACATGGATGAATCTCAAAATAATTATGCTGAGTGGAAGGAAACAGGTTAAAAAAAGCATACATACTGTATGATTTCATTTACATAAAATTCTAGAAAATGCAAACTAACCTGTAGTGACAGAAAGCAGACCAGTGGTTACCTAGGGCTAAGAATAGGTGGGAAGGGGCTCGGATGAAAGGATTATAAAAGGGCATTTTGGAATTTGGGGGGTGATGGTTTCATGGGTGTTAACTCATATCAAAACACATCAAACTGTACACTTTAATGTGTACGGTTATATTTTATATCAATTATATCTTAATAAAGCTGAAAAAAAACTAATCTAAATACTTTCTATACAAGGAGGTTAATCATAATTAGACTTTCCATATCCTCAAGAGCTTCGTCCTCTTTAAAGCAGCTAATGCATCATCCAATCATGCTGTCTTGGTTGCCCTCAGAGTCCATAGCCTATTTTGATGATTTAATAAAAGTAATCATTATATCAATATCTATCATTTATAGTACCTAATATTGCTAGGCACTATGCTAAACATGTTACAGAGATAAGATTCTTGGAAAGAGCCAACCAATAAAACTTACTTGGAGCCAAAGTTAAGGCTTACAATGGAAACCAAACCAAAATAAAATAGGTGTGTCTAAAAACCAGTGAACTCAATCTCTTATACTAACACCTTACATTTATTTAACAATCAATGGTAACATATGCTACAAGCAAATACTGGATCTAATGCACAGATGAGGGACTTCCCTGGTGGTCCAGCAGGTAAGACTCCGTGCTCCCAATGCAGGGGGCCCAGGTTCGATCCCTGGTCAGGGAACTAGATCCCACATGCATGCTGCAAGTAAAAAGCCCATATGCCGCAACTAAAGATCCCACGTGCCTGAACTAAGACCCGGCACAGCAGAAAGAAAGGGGTGGGGGAGGGAAGAAGGAAAGAAGGACGGAAGAAAGATTTTAAAAATGCACAGATGAAAAAACTGAGGTTCTGTGAACTGCCCAAAGTCACAAAGCTCAAATGGAGGAGCTGACCCTTGATCATAAATCTTCCGACTCTTAAGTCTAATATTCTAACAGGTTACTGCTCTCTCATGTGGTTTATAACTTAAACCCTAAAGGAAATTTAAAAAAGAAAAGTACACAGCTTACCAAGATGTCTATTTTTAAATATATACTGACCTGAAGAATTAATGTTCTGATAGATATATCAAAAGAATCAGTCCCATTAGTCACACCTATTGTGTGGCTTACAGATACTCAGCGTGTAACAGTATATGCTACAAAACATTAGAAACCAGGCTGACTTTAATATATGCTATCTGATTTTAACATATGCCAGCATATATCTTAACATATGCTACTGTGGGAAAAAACGGTTCTAAAAGTAAGTTTTTGATCTACAAGCTCTGTTCCTTTCATTCATTTTTTTTTTTTTGCACTACGCGGGCCTCTCACTGCTGCTACCTCTCCCGTTGCGGAGCACAGGCTCCGGACATGCAGGCCCAGCGGCCACAGCTCACGGGCCCAGCCACTCCACAGCATGTGGGATCTTCTCGGACTGGGACACGAACCCGTGTCCCCTGCATCGGCAGGCGGACTCTCAACCACTGCGCCACCAGGGAAGCCCCTTTCATTCATTTTGGCTGCCAAATCTATACAAATTTTCTAAGTGTCATAACGCTTCTCTTTTTTACAGTCTGCCTTTAACTCTCCAAATGAAATGCTTCAAGAACTGCTCTTTGTTGAGTGCTAGTACAGCATAGGGATAACTTAACACCAAAAAAAACTTTCATGTAAGTTGACAAATGAACCCCTTCCTATGGAATAAAGTTTTCAGACTTCAGAAACAAATGAATGAATCTATTTAAGCACAGACATATATAACACCAGCACACTCTGAAACTTGCAATCTTGCTGGGTTTAGTCTTTCTAGATGTCCTAAAAACAGAATGTCCCAAACACTATGTGCTTTCACGTTGGGAGTTTTCAAACTCTTTGAGTCCTAACTTATGGATCAAAGTCCACTCAATCCCATACATTAAAATATTATAGTGCTTTCTTCCAACCCTGCTTCAAAAACTACGTTAGAGGCCCATAATCACGGCACTACGTGGACCTTGTCATAGCACAGACAAGACCCAAGCCAGCACTTAGGCCCCACTGCCGCGGGGGCAAAGGAGAGTGAAGAACCACTGTCAGCCCCATCAGGCAGAATTCACCAAACGCTGGAGTCCCAGGGGTGATGGTAGCGCCATCTCCTGGGTCGGGTAACTGAGCTGGGCACAAACATCTCCAAACTGAGGACAGCTTAATTAAGAAAAACAAACAATGAGAAAGATAAAAACATTCCCCATGTTGTGTAACAGCCAAGGCCACGCTTCAAAAAATGGTCCTACAAGTTACCGACAGGCAGCATCTCTGCGAGGGCCAGTGTCCCGATTCTAAACCCTCGTATGTGGCCCCATTATGCTCCTCTACCGCCACAGGATGTGTGGGCACAGTGGCCAACATACTGAACATGAGTCTTTGAGAGGCTGAAGATTGAGGAAGAAGCCTCAATTCCCTCATCTCTGAGTGGTGGCACTAGGGGCTGAAAACGGATCCCACATGTCCTCTCAGACCGTGGTGGGTCGATGCTCCCTCACAGTGTGGGACACCCTAAATGTCAAGGCTGCGGGGACCTGGAAAGAGATCAGTCATTGGGACCCTTGAAACAGCATCTTCATCGCTAAAGGATGTAGCCACGAGGGTGCCGATGGACTACAGTTAGGTAGCGAACACTTCCAGATCAAAGTAAACAAAAAATGTTTTTAATTTTAAAAGTTTGCCCAATTCTGCTCTTGACGCCATTTTCTGCCTGTGACGTCAGGGGGAGGCGCCGTGCGACAACGTCACGCATAGGTGACGTTTCGGGGGGGACACGGTTTCGGGGTTTCTTACCAGTTCCGGGTCCCCGCAGGGTGGGGGGGGTCCCGGTTCCCTTCGTTCCTTTGGGTGTGTCGGGGGACGCGAAGCACGACTCCCTTCCAGAGACTCAGCAGTAAGAGCCCCACTACAACTGGAGCTGCTCCTCTTCCCGCAAAATGGCGGCAGCTCCGCTGTCTTCCAGAACCTTTCCCAATCTGCGCAGGCGCCGAAACATTCAGGTGGCGGAATTAATCTCACGGGTTTCGCGGCAACACTCCAAAGTACAGATTTTCATTGGCTAAAATCTGAGCATGGGTGGAGCCAAGCTCAAAGGTCTCTTAGCAACCAACAAGTTCCCATTGATTGGCTAATCTTTCCGAGACTCAGGGAAAGCAGAAGCGTCCTTAGGTATCCGCCTATCGCTCTCTCATTGGTTAAATGACTTGCGGAAGGCGGGGCAACCGGGCAGAGAACCGGAGAAAAGGACCCCCCGACTCGCTCCCGGTTCTCATGTAGACTAGGCTAACACCGCGGAGGAGCCTATTGACGTCCTTGGCCGTCCCCACTCAGATTTGCCGAGGAGCTCACGTCAGGCTTCTCTGGGACAGCTTTCTGGAGAGCAACTGCATTTGCTTCCCCTGGGGAGGGATGCTGGGCTGCCCATCCCCATTGTGTCATACAACCCTCCCAACCGCTGCCTCGTTTCCTCGGCGCCTGGATCTCATGTGACTGTCACAGATTTGTCTTCTTCCGCATTCTGCCTGGTCCTACAGCTCATATACCTTCAGTTCAAATCAGTGCCCCACACACCCCCCACCGCAAGGGTAAACTTGAGGCAGTTTCTCAGGTGACTCTGGGTGCAGCAGTACTCAGCCCTCTAGCCAGAAAGAGAAGTCCACCCTCACGTTGCAACGTCTTCCAGAACCCCCAGAGCCTTCAGCTGCCTAATACAGCTGCCAGAAAGATAGCTGGTTATAACATGGAGAGGGCCATGGAGTCACAGGAACCGTGTTGAGTCCTGATTTGAATACTAACTTTATATCATTGTACCAATTCAAATTCCTCTTCTGTAAAATGTAGAATAGGACTAGATTATCTCTTAGGACTTCAAACTCTAATCCTATGATTTTATTCAAATAAAAAAAGTGGCTTCTTGCTGGTGAAGCCTGGATGACTTCCAGTTTCTCTCCCAAGAGGTAACAGAGGAGCTGGCAGTACAGCAGCTCAGGAAGGTGGAAGGGAAGCTGGCTTCACTCACTACCCTATCTTTCTCCATGGCAACAAACTCTATGCCTCCTCCCCCAGACAAGAGCCTAATCACAGGTCCTAATGGACAAGACCTCTCTGTAGCTGGTCAGAAAGCCTATAATTGGGAGTCCAAGAGTCACCACTAAGCTTCTTAAATAGGAAATAAAGCTAGGCCCCTTCAAGTCTTGGATAAGAGCATCGATCTGAATATGTGTAAGTAATGGGTGGAGAAGCAGAGGCAGGGGGCAGCAGAGTTGGAGCAGGAAAGGCCATAACCTCACTTTATTTGTATTTCCTCCTTACACAAAATCATCAAAATAGGAACAGAGATGGGCAGAGAAAAGGGCTGAAAAGTTGTTCAATCCACATGTTCTCAGGGCTATCCCAGGGAGCACTTGAGGCTCAGTGCCTGTTGGAGTAGCCACAGATTCAACATGAATTCCTCATGCCCTGGCCTGAAGTCTTCACAGATTGGTGGCGTGAGCCCTGCAATTCTCATCCTTTGCCCATCTTGATGTAAGGCAGGAAAGTGGACTGAAATGCTCCTCTCTGATGGGCAAGGCAAATCAGAGCCCATGGTGTACTGCACCTTCTGTGCTACAGGAGCAGAACCTGAAGCTGCTTCCAAGGTTCTAGACACCTGCAGGCAGGGCTAGAGGCCAATGGTGTAAGAGCGGCCTGTGGGGTTGTGAATAGCAGAACAGACTGGTGCTGTCACAGCCCACTCATACCACACCTTCTTGGAATTGCTGCATCGCCAGAAACGCACACAGATGGTCTGGCCTTCACGCACGGTAATGGGCTGCTGTAAGAAGAAAGACATGGAGGTTCAGGGTGGAGCTAATGAATTTTATGTGGCAATGTACTAAGCTAGGTGTGGAGATAAAATGATCAAATGACGTTCCAACCCTCATGAGGTTTATTTGAAGTCTATCGGAACAAATGATCAGAAATGAACAGACACTGAACAAATAATTAAAAGTGGGATGAACACTGTGAACAGGGATAGGGTGCTATGAAAACACCTATGAAAGTTAACACTAACCTAGTCTACAAGGTCAGGGAAAATTATCTGACAACAAGAATGTTTAATGAGACTTGGAAGATAAGTCAGCTGAATCAAGAAATGAGCCAAGAACTTTACAGGCAGAGGACAAAGGTGTGAAACCGCGAGGCAGGAAAGAACATGGGGCATTAGAGGAACCAAAAGAAGGTCCATAGGACTGAAGCAATGTAATCAAAGGACAGTGGCTGAAAAGGCAGGCAAAAACTAGATCACACCAAGTCTAACAAAGATTTAAGACCTTATTGTAGGGCAGTGGAAAAACATCGAAGGGTTTTAAAAGGAGAGAGATAGAATCAGATTCATGTTTTTAAAAGATGACTCTTGCTCCAGGTAGAGAATGGACAGAAGAATAGCCAGAGTAGGCGTGGGAAGCCAGGCAGAAGGCCCCTGCAGATATCCCAACATCTACAACAGGATCCAAGAGCACGTGAGAGCAGTAGAACATGGGTCACAGACAAGCATCATCCTGGGAGAAGGGAAGGGGCAGAACACCAATGACAATAGTTACTCTTTAACCCAAGGAGCCTTAAAGGTGATTCCTACCTTAATGGGGAAGAGGATGGGAAACCATGAAAACATCCCAGGAGAGTGAGTCTCTGGACGGATACCTAAGTGGACAAAGTAATTTAAAAAACTGAGTATAACTGATTCACTTTGCTGTACACTGAAACACAACATTGTAAATCAACTATAATCCAAAAAAAATTTTTTTAATTAAAAATTAAAAAAAAATTGAGGTCTCCATGACTCTGCTTTTTGCCTAGATTGAGGAGAATCTCTTCTGTGAACACAGAAGCAAGTAATCAAAGATCCCCATTCACTGATTCCTGGGTTCCCTGTGACTCTAAATGAAACATGTACATACGCTACCCGAAACATGTACATACACTGCCCAGGTAGCATACTCTTATACTTCCCATCTACTGCCCGAGACACTTACTCAGAGTGATGTCCTGATAAAGCACAGTCTCAAAGTAGCCTGCAAAGCCATGCAGCACTGTGTTCACCTCCACGGGAAACTCCAAGGTGCAGTAGCGGTTGTTGTCAATCATAGGATCTGTCAGGGAAGAGCGGTGTGGGTGATGAGTGGCCAGAAACCCTAGACAACTTGGTAAAGCATGAGCAGGAACCAGGAAAGGAAGCCCTGATAGAGACCAGATAGAGCAGACTCAGGACAGCAAGGGAAGAAACCAGGAGGGTGAGCTCTCACGCAACCAGTCAGAGGACAGCCATGCAGGAACCCACCTCTGTTGGGATGGCTGAAGGTAAAACAGGGCTGGGGCGCAGACAGCTGGTGGAAATTGTGCAGTCGTACCACATAAGGCATTTCAAACTGGGCCTATCCCGAGAGAGAACAAGATCTGGAGAAGACAGGCAAGAGCTACCTAATTCCCCAGGGAATGCAGCTCAAGCTTTAGGGACACAGACAAAGATAAAAACACAGGGACTTCCCTGATGGTCCAGTGCCTAAGACTGCGCTCCCAATGCAGGGGGCCCGGGTTCCATCCCTGGTCAGGGAACTAGATCCCACATGCTGCAACTGAAGATCCCAGCACGCGGCAACGAAGATACCATGTGCCACAACTAAGACCCGACGCAGCCAAATAAATAAATATTAAAAAAAAAAAAAAAAGAAAAAGATAAAAACATAGTTTCACTTCAATTGCTTTCCCACATCCCCAACTCCTTCACCTCTTCATCTTCTCCAGTGGAAGAAAACACTTATGCTGACAGAGAAAAAGAAAAGGACTAAAGAGAAGAGTCCTCCAGAAGAGAGTATCTCTTTACCTCAGGGTCGCGGTCCTTTTCCCGACAGGCTCGGACCTCATTGTACAGCTTGGAGGAGGAGATGGGAGCTAGAAAGGAGGTGTACTCCCCAGGGATGCTCACGCCATCATCTGCAGAGCGGGAGAGTCACATTACTTCCCAAGGGATGGAAATGGTGCGTCTGTACTGAAAGCCCAGACCTCCCATATCAAAATAGACCCAGGCAGCTCCATGCTATCACATTCCTAGGCCAACCTGCTCCTAACTCCTGCCCTGAGGGATTCTACTTCTAGGTTAATTTAGAGTCACACAAGAGTAAAACTGGAAGGAACCCAACGTATTTTAATCTAGTGGTTCTTAACTTTCTTTCCTTTAAGATCCTAATGAAAGCTAAGCCCAAAGTACATATGTCAGCTTAGGAAGTCTACAGATCTCCGATTAAGAGTCTCTGCTCTGGTCCACTCCCCTCATTTTACAGATGTGAATACCGAGGTTCAGAGAAATTGCTTCATTTGCTAAGGGCACTGACCCAAGTCTGCCCTGCCTTCCCTAAACTTTGTAACCTCCTCTAGGCTGCTGCCACACCCACCCCTCCCCAGTCCCGTCCAGCCTTCCCAGTTGATAATCCAATCCCCTTACTCAGTACACCCCAGCCTGGAGGCACCTTTTAGGAAGTGCTGGGCTCCATCCAGGCATTCCGGTGACAGCTCATTATCAGCGAAGGACCCCAGAAGCTCACTGACAATGATATCCGCTTTCTCTGGAGCCACCCACTCCCGCATGTCCGATGAGACTACTGTCACCTGGCTTCCCCATTCTTCAAACTGCCAGTTCTCCAGCCTAAAACAGAGATGATACAAGTGAGGATAAGATAAGAAAAACTGACACTGGGGACAAACTTCCCAGCAAAAAAGGTTGCTACTCACGTCACCACAGCATTTGGGTTCTTCTCCACAGCGTACAGCTTTATCCGCCGGTCAGCCTGCTTGGCTGCCCTCAGGGAAGCATTCACCAGGGGCCCCCGGCCTGCTCCCAGCACCATCAGCACTCTAAGAAAGAGAGAGAAGAGTCAAGCTGACTCTGCATGTAGAGAGGCAGGCATGCAAATCTCTGGAATCATGGGGAGAGCACTCACTGGACATTGGTGTCCTTCTCTTCCTCTGGCACTCGGTCTAACAGACATTTATAGATGGCCTGGGGGAACGAGGGAAGACCTCATGGCTATAATGCCATCCTCACCCAGGTCATCCTGGCCCTGTGCTTGACCCCATCTGGGACCCACACTGTACCTGCTGGTATTGAGAGTATTTGATAGGGTCCTTTTCAAACACTTCGTATGTCTGAGATTCCAGATTATCCATCAGTGGCTGATGAATGAGAGGAAAAAGGCAAAGTAAGTTAGCCAGTTTCTGGCAAGGACAATGCACCAGAATACCAAAACCTTCCCACTGCCTCCTGAGCTTTGATAGGATTTTAGGGCACCTGCTCTCAAGAGACATTTCCTCCCCCCACCTCCCTCCTCTCAGTGTACTCCAGACCCACCTGGAGTGGGGATTGCAGGTAGTCTTCATAGCCCTTGGCAAAGAGTTCGTAGGCATTGGGTGGAGGTCGATTCTGGCTCAAGTATTCCAAGTACTGGAGGTAGGAGCAGAACTCTTTCTCTGAGTGGTGGTTGGTGCCTGTGATGATGAACTGCACCTCCAACTGTGAGAATAAGTCAGACCATCAGACACAGTCCTTGTACCAAGAGGATATTATTATGGTTTATGGCCAAAGAGCTCTAGCATAAAATAAGGCCCAGATCACCAAATACCAACAAAAGCATCAAGAGCCCTCCTATGCCACATAATCATCATCCTGGCTCAAGAGGCCCATGGATTGTTGCTATAACTTCTTTTTTTAATTTTATTTAATTTATTTATTTTTGGCTGTGTTGGGTCTTTGTTGCTGCGTGCGGGCTTTCTCTAGCTGCAGGGAGCCGGGGCTACTCCTCGTTGCAGTGCACAGGCTTTTCCTTGCAGTGGCTTCTCTTGTTGCAGAGCACAGGCTCAGTAGTTGTTGTGCACGGGCTTAGTTGCTCCGCAGCATCTTCCAGGACCAGGGATCGAACCCATGTGCCCTGCACTGGCAGGCGGATTCTTAACCACTGCACCACCAGGGAAGCCCTTTTGCTATAACTTCTTAAATGAAACTTTCTGCAAAGTTTTCATGAGATCTGGTTCCTTTTGAAATGTTTCTGGGCCCTCTACTGCTATTTGCATTTTTGCATCCAAGACCAACTTTGCCGAAATTGCTCTCCAGAAACTAGAGGGGCAAAGAACCCCACAGAGGGAAAAAACAAAATAAAACAAAGAACACCCCATCATACATATGTGAATAAGGCAAGAGGATTAGCTGCAGCACCTTTAGAACCCTTCTACTACACACCTTGAGGAGTCGGAAGATCAGCCTCTGGTGCATCTTAGAAAGAACAGGAAATCCCTTCTTATTGGTCAGGAAAATGCTGGTGGGGAGAATGGCTGCTTTGATGGGCTCCCCAAGCCAACGATCAATGACATGATTAGATGGGAGGTCAGCACCAATTTCGAGAGCTACACAAGGGAAAAGAAAGACCTGTAAATCACTGATAGGTCAGAAGCCTTTCCTTGCTCTTTTGTGCAAGATCTGTCTACTCCTTAAGAGCAAGGCAGACCTAAGGCACAGAGAAAGTAGCAAAACTGCCCAGCAGACAAGTGTACATGAAACCCCTGATTTTTGGTCACAGAAGGTCAGAGAATGATAACGTATCCCAGGATATTTGTGGACTTACCCACCGCAATCCTCTTGCTATAATCACACAAGGTCCGGAAGTTGTGCCACCTGTCCAGAGTCAAATACAGAAAAATACAGTCAGATACATATGGCCCACCAATCACCATACCTCAAGGAGACGTTCCTACAGGTTCCACTCTGTACTTCCCTCCACCCTAGCCTTCGCCCTGGTACAGCAGCAAAAGGAGACATACCACATCCATGTCTTCTCCTCTCCACTGTACTCCTCTGTGTGTGAAGTTGGCGCATTCTCAATTATATCATCTCTCAGGTCCTCTGGTGCCACCAATGGCACCCGCATCCAGAACTGCACATGAACAATAAATAGGTTCTGTACCCTATTTAGAACTGTTTTGAACTCATTGGGTGCAGAAAGCTTCCTTCAACTAAAAAGATCTTGATCCAGATTTCAAATTACTCCCTTTACATGCTTTTCCCAATTTGTGATTATATGTATGTGTACATGTATCTTGTGCATATCCTTAAGTAAGTATCTGCCTTGTCTTCTATCTGAATATTCTATATATTTTATAACTCTCTGCTTACCACTTTTAGTTGTGGGTAGGCAGTACTGACATTTCAATTCTGCCAAATCCACCTTTTACTGAATGGCTAGGAACAAGAAGATACTTAGCACAGCCTGACTACCATAATATGCAGCAGGAAAGGAGGCCCTCAGCCATACCATGGAGGAGTGGTGGCCAGTGTGGATGTGGTTGGTCAAAACTCTCGCCAAGTTTGTGTTATCTTCCTGATTTAGGGGCAGCAGGAAAGCTGGAAGACCCAAATATGCCCCAAAATTCAGCTCCTGTAACATAGCCTGGAATGGAGATCAAGAGAAAAAAGTTAAGAGCAAGCAATTCAAATAGCTTTAACTGCATTATATTAGATTTACTAAATTATGGAGGGGGAAAATACTACTCTCCCCATCCAGCTTGTTTACAGACCTGATCTTTAAAAAAATTCATTGAAGAGGTCAGTCTTACCGCCTCGGAGTTCCTGCGGATCTTTTCCACTTTTGAGTCTGGACGAATCCATGGAGAAAGCTTTCCCACAATTAGTGTATTCCAGTCTGCACTCCCCCACCCAAGAAAGACAAAGACTGAATGAGGTTCAGAACTTTACTCATTCAATTTCTAGTTCTTAACAGGGACTAGAGAGTTAGAGATGAGAGACAGACTTTTTCTATCACAGATACAGGACAGGAGAGCCTGACGCAGAATAGGGAACTAAGGCTTTTAGCAGGTAAGCAAGGAGAGAATAAGAGTTATCTATATCCCGGGGGGAACCAATATATCCAAGTCAAGAAAGGAAGAGAAGGAAGGCACTGATAAAGCATAAGTTGTTATTGCCTCTAATAATTAAGGGGTATGTGGGATGGTCCCTACCCCTTCCTGACAGCAGTAGGTCTGATCGTGTCTGGGGGCCCGGCCGATTCTTAGCAGGTTCCTGAGTGAACTCCCTCTTGAAACGCGGGTGGAACACAGGCATGCAGAGGAAATCAAACCTACAACCGCGACAGACCCAGAATCGTCATGTAAAGACAGCAGCCCAGACATCCAAGCAATTGGACTAGGCTATCTAGATTCTGCACAACCCTTTCAGCTGCCGTCAGTCACCCGACTGGACTGCTGAATTCAGCCCACCTTGGGGCATATCACTTCCGCTGCACTGTGCCTCAATTTCTCCCCGGAACACAGCCATGGAAAAAATGAGTAAAGAGAAACGATGAAAATCCACACCACGTGGACTTTCTATTCTGCTGTCACTGGTTTTCCAAGACTGTCACATCCAGATCTGCACCAGTACTGCACAAGTTTCCCCCCTCAAGGCTTTTCTCTCCTCTCCCTAGCCCCCTCTTACACTCTCAGACGATAATCTCGCTCGCCATGGCCCTGGAAGTCTGTACGCCCCCTGTGTGAGTTCACCTGATAACTCCCCTGACTTTGGGGTTCAGTGACCCCACGCCCCCAACAAGTTTTTTTTCCTCTCTCTCACGCTCCAGGGCCCGAGACTTCTCCCCTCCAAGGACTAATGGTTTCCCCCGCCCTCGTCGTATCCACTCCGACACCCTCACCCCTGCCTCTCGGGAATGACTGGTCTGCGCCTCTCTGTCCCCGAGTTCGGACCCCGCATTCCGCACGCAGAGGTCCAGGCCCTCACCCCTGCTTGGCCACAGCCCCCAGTGTGTCAGCTATTTCGGGGACGCAATTTAGGTCCCTCCCGCTGGACACGCGACTTCCACTGGCACCGCCGACCGCCATCGCCGCCATCTTTTCCCTCGCGCTGTCCACGCCGAGATTCCCTGACACTAGCAGCCAATCACAAAGCCGAAAAAAAGCCCCCAAAAGGCGGGACGAGTCTCCCTAACAACCAAAGCGTCTTCCACGGCTCCGGAGCTGGAGGAGGAGGGGTGGGGAGTGGCTCTTCCCGCCAATCCGCGGGCTGCACAGTGACGTACGGCTTGGCTCCGGAAGAGTCACCAATCTCAGGGTCTGGTTCTTGACGAACTTCAATCTCCCATAATGCTCCGTGTACTCGTAGAATTCCGATAAGAGACTACACGTCCCATGAAACCCTGCAGTAAAAAACCCTGCAATATAAGCTTGAAGTATCATCATTGAGAACTCCGGAATTGTCTCAGGGCCAGTGGCGCAATGGATAACGCGTCTGACTACGGATCAGAAGATTCCAGGTTCGACTCCTGGCTGGCTCGAAGGGACAGGTGTTTCCTTTATTGCATCCCATGCAATATGGTCATAAGCAGTATTTTGAAAGTCTCCCCTTATTTCTTTTTAAATATTTCCTCATTATCTCTCGCCCTCATTTTGAGGTCTTAATTTTATTGCGTTTTGCAGCCATTTTATGTCAGCTTTTCCCCTTACCGAATTCAAAGGTGATTCTTGTGTCACTACTTAGGTCCATCCGAATCCTGAGAAAACCGGGTTGATGGCTGGGGTCTTTGTGTGGGCCTTAATATATTTTTAAATAGATTGTGGCAATTCAGCCACTAAGTCTTTGTGATTCTATATCTCAAACACAAAAAAAGTAAACAAACACCTAAACACACACACACACACACACACACACACACACACACACACACACTGAGGATAGAGAAAAGGAACCCATGGTGAGGAAATATAGTGAGGAGAGAGGAGTAATGAACTGCCTGGCGGAGGCCTGAGAGAACCTCTACATTTTCCTTTGTGAATGCCTGCTCCAGGGGTGGAAAAGAAGGAAAGGAAGGCAAAGAAAGACGTAGAAAGGGAATACCTGAAGGTAGGGATGCCAGAAGTGCTGAGGGCCTGGCAGCAGGGTTGGAAACAGAACACAATACAAAAGTCCCGAGGCAGGAGGCGTTGACAGAATTTAGGGACCGACTGACAGGGAGCGTGATAAAGGGAAGTCTGTGGGTGATAACCCAGGGTTCTGGCCTCTGTAGAAGCTGGTTTAGGGAGAATCAGGGTTTGGGTTTGAAAATGCTGAATTGGACGTCTAGGGGGCGCTGTGTAATAGAGAGTTGGATGAACAGTGACCTGAACCAGACAAGATTTGGAAATCGCCGTTAGAAAGGTAGTGACCGAAGCCATGAGACTGAATGAGATCACCGTAGCCCGTGGGGGATCAGAGTTCTGAGAAATACGGAACGGGTGGATAGGATAAGCTATAAGGAGCCCGGGCAATGTAAGTGCCCCAAAAGGATGAAGATTAGAAAGCTAAAGAAGAAAATGCCTATGAAGCCTAAGAGAGTTGGAGATGATTTTGTCCCATCTTCTTCTTATTACTAGACTTTCTTTTTTTAAATACATTTATTTATTTATTTTTTGGCTGCGTTGGGTCTTCGTTGCTGCACGCAGGCTTTCTGTAGTTGCGGCGAGCGGGGGCTACTCTTCGTTGCGGTGCGTGGGCTTCTCATTGCAGTGGCTTCTCGTTGCGGAGCACGGGCTCTAGGTGCACGGGCTTCAGTAGTTGTGGCTCGCGGGCTCCAGCAGTTGTGGCTTGCGGGCTCTAGAGCACAGGCTCAGCAGTTGTGGCACACGGGCTTAGTTGCTCCAAGGCATGTGGGATCTTCCCGGACCAGGGCAGGCGGATTCTTAACCACTGCGCCACCAGGGAAGCCCCTAGACTTTATTTCTTAAAACAGTTTTAGATTTACAGAAAACTTCAGCAGGTAGTACAACACAGCCAGTTCTCTCATGCCTACCTACAGCTTTCTCTATTATTAACATGTTAACATTAGTATGGTACATTTATTACTATTCATGGACCAGAATTGATACATTATTATTATTAACTAAAGTACATAGTTTATTCAGATTTTCTTAGGTTTCACCTAATGTCTTCTTTCTGTTCCACCATCCCATCGAGGATACCATATTACATATAGTTGTCATGTCTGCTTAGACTCCTCTTGGCTGTGACAGTTTGTCAGATGTTCCTTGTTTTTGATGACCTTGAAAATTTTGAGGAGTACTGGTCAGGTATACTGAAGGACACCTCTCTATTGGAATTTTTCTGATGGTTTTCTCATAATTAGACTGGGATTATGGGTTTGGGGGAGGAAGATCACAGAGGTAAAGTGCCATTTTCATCACATCATATCAAGATTACATACCATCAATATAATTTATGACTGTTGATGTTTATCATCTGGTAGAACTAGTGTTTATCAGGTTTCTCCACTGTAAAATTACACTCCTCCCCCCACCCCTGCTATCCTGTACTCTTTGGAAGGAAGTCACTTGTGCATTCCACGCTTAAGGAGTAGGGAGTTATACTTCCCCTCCTTTAGGCTGGAGTGTCTACAATATTTACTTGAATTCTTCCCTGCAGGGCTTATGAGTAGGGAGTTGACAGGAAGTGGGTGAGTGCTCTGCTGACATTTTAAGAAGAAAAAGAGTTGTTGGGGAGGCCTGCTTGTTCTCTGCCCCAGCTGTGCCCAACCAAACTCTACATTCACAGAAGACTTATTAGATGTTGTTTTGTCTTCAGAAGCTAATTATCTGGGCTGTGGACCATCTGTGCTCCTGGAATCTTCCTCCTGATGTCAAGCTGGAGGCTGCTCTGTTAACTAACCCCTCCATGGGTGAAAGGGAGAGAGGAAATCTATGAAACAGTAATGTCAGTTTTGCCATCAGTTAAAATAATTTTCAAAAGGATTTGCATAAAAAGAGCCTAGAGTTTCTGACTGGCCTTAAAGTAAATTTAGATGGGCTGAATTTCATTCATCTGGGATGTCTTTGTTTTTTCATTCAAAATGGCCTCCGCTATGTGGCAAGCATAATGCTGAACAGTTCCCGGGAATTCCACACCAAATTGCTCTCTGCCTGTCCTACAGCACTTTGCTTTGCCTTAAAGAACAGCATGGTCTGTGGGTCTGTCTATATGAGTTACAGAGAAGCAGAAGGAACAGACTGAAAAAGAAATAGAGAACCTTTTAAAGGACTTGGCCCTAGGCATAAAGTCAGAGTTGGTGAGGTCCATCTTATGCTCTCCTTCCCTCTGCTCTGCTCTCCTTGCTGAACTTTTGTGCTCAGAAGCATGTCAGTCACTGTTATACTATAGGATGTAGGCCTTTGCTGGGATGAAGACAGGGAGGTGGCAGGTGAGAAATAATGTTACTTTCTCCAACAGGAGCCAGTGACAAACAGGCTAGAGCACTGGAAACGTTTTTGGAAGGGAAGAAGTACCCTCTCCCAGATAAACCTCCTGTTGCCCTCTAGCATTCCTCACCTTCAGGCCCAGTTCTTCTACCTGCTTCTGTTTTTATGTCCTTGTTTAAACACTGCCAGTGCATTATAAACCCTCCTTTCACCTTCTCTTGGGCTCCCCTCCTTCTTCAGCCCTCGCTTCCCTCCCCAGGCCCACCTTCACTCACCTCTGTGCCTGCCCAGCCAGCTGCACTCTTCAACACCAAAATAATGGCCCATTTGACCCTCCTACTGCTCCAAATTGCTTCTTCACAACCAAGGCTTTCCTCCAGCTACAAAAGTGGCAGAGTTACTGAGGCAAAATAATCTGTGCCAATTTGCATTCTCTTCCTTGTCATCTCTATTATACAGTATTTATCTGTCAAAATGAATAGAAAGTAGAAACTGTACTGGAACATAGAAAAAGATGGAAAACTACCCAATTCGTTTATGAAGCCAGAATATACCTAATATCAAAATCTGTCAGAAATAGGACCCGCCCCCTCCACAGAAAAAAAATAAAGCAAACCTATAGACCTGTCTCACTTAGGAATATAAATGTAAAACTCCTAAAATATTTAAGATTAACAATAAAAGTCAATAGTATATTAACATAATAATATACCAGCACCAATTAGGGTTTATCTCAGGAATTAACACAAAGTTAGGTATTAGGAAATTTATTTATATAATAGGTCAAAAATAAAGCAAGCAGAAAAACATTTGATCATTTTTAATAGACATCAAACAGAAAATGGTAAGTCAATTCCATTTTCTAAAACATTCTTTTATTTTTATTTATTTTTATTATTATTATTTTTTGCGGTACGCGGGCCTCTCACTGTTGTGGTCTCTCCCGTTGCGGGGCACAGGCTCCGGACGCGCAGGCTCAGCGGCCATGGCTCACAGGCCAGCTGCTCCGCGGCATGTGGGATCCTCCCGGACCGGGACACAAACCCGTGTCCCCTGCATCGGCAGGCGGACTCTCAACCACTGCGCCACCAGGGAAGCCCCAATTTTCTAAAACATTCTTAATAGTCTTAATATTCTTTATATATAAACACATATATATGTATATGAATTCAACAATTTATATAAAGATAAAATAATACAAGAATGTCTTGTCTCATCACTGTGTTATTTAATATTATTCTGAAAAATCCAATACAATGACTGGAAATTTTTTAAAAGCAGTTATAACTTTGGAAAGAGGCAAATTTATCATTGTTTGCAGATGATATGATCGTATACATAGAAAATCCATGAGAATCAATTCTAAAATGATGAGAATTAATAATAGCATTCAGCGACATCACTTAATACAAGACAAATACAAAACATATCTGTAGCCTTCTTATAAACTAAGGATAACCAGTTAGAAGACATAATTAATAAAAATATCCCGGAACTTCCCTGGCGGTCCAATGGTTAAGACCCCATGCCTCCAATGCAGGGGGCATGGGTTTGATCCCTGGTCTGGGAACTAGGAAATATCCCAATAACATAGTAGTTAAGATCATGGGCAGTGGAGCTAGATGGCAAGAGGTTAAAGCCCTATTTATCCATTTATTAAGCATGTGAACCTAACCCCTCTGGCCTCAGTTTCCTCATCCACAAAATAGGAATGTAAATAATAGTTCTTATCTCATAAAGCTGTTATGAGCATTAAATTAGTTAATATAGTAAAGCATTTGGGTGGGGGGTGGGATGAACTGGGAGACTGGAAAAAAATGTAAAATAAAAAATATATATACATAGTAAAGCATTTAGAACCTATCTGCACATAGGAGGCCTTCAATATACATTAGCTATTGT